CATGGCATCAGGATTGGAGGAAGACTCATTAACAACCTGTGATATGCAGATGATAACAAACTTGCTTGCTGAAAGTGAAGAGCACAGAGGACTGAAAACATTTACTGATGAAGATCAAAGAGCACAGCCTTTGGTATGTATTACATCTCAATGTCAAGAAAACAAAAATCCTCACCACTGGACCAATAAACAACATTGTTATCAAGGGAGAAAAGATTGAAGTTGTCAAGGACTTCATTCTTCTTGGATTAAGTATCAACACTCATGGAAGCAACAGTCAAGAAATCAAACGACATATTGCGTTAGGCAAATCTGCTGCACAAGACCTTTTTAAAGTGTTGCAGAGCAAAGATGTCAGCTTGAGGACTAAGGTGTGCCTGACCCAAGCCATGGTATTTTCAGTAACCTCATACACATGCGAAAGCTGGATAGTGAATAAGGAAGACCATAGAAAAATTGATGCTTTTGAGTTATGGTGTTAGAGGAGAATATTGAAAGTGCCATGGGCTTCCAAAAGAACAAACAGATCCATTCTGGAAGACATGTAGCCAGAGTGCTCCTTGGAAATCGAGATGGCCAAACTTCATCTTTCATACTTTGGACATATTGTCAGAAAGGACCATTCGCTGGAGAAGAATATCATGTTGGGTAAAGTGGAGGGTCAGAGAAAAGGAGGAAGACCCCCAACAAGATGGACTGGCCAAGTGGCAGCATCGATGGGCTCAAGCATGGCAACAATAGTGAGGTTGGCCCAGGATTGGGCATTGTTTTGTTGTGCTGTGCATAAGGTCTCTATGTGTTGGTGCTGACTCGATGGCACCTAACAACAACAACAACAACAACAACAACCCTCTTCCCAGACACTCCTTGAAAACCCTATGCAGGGTCACTTAGGAGTCGGAACTTACTCTAGCCAGTGAATTACAAACTGATCATTTTTATTGGAAGTATTCTACTTTATCACTTATAGTTATCAAAAATATTTACATTTTTAAAAAACTTTATTATGAGTTGAGTGAAGGTTTACAGAGGTCATCAGTTTTACATTCAATAAATCATATACTTTGCTTCATTTCAATTACTGCAATCCTGTCAAAGTAATATCAGTTATACCACTTCATCCCTGTGATTCTGTCCTTTTTTTCCCCTTTTTTAAGTTCAGAGTTCTTCCATTTACACTCTGAGTGATAAATCTGTTTGCACTACCTAGTACTTTCCTTAGGGCAATCTGCATTTCTTTGTTTCTTATACTGTAAACAATGGGGTTAAGCAGAGGTGTCAGGATTGTATATGTCACAGCCATCAGCATGTCTTCACTGAATGAGTCCTCATTTTTAGGTCTCAAATAGACAAAGCAAGCAACTCCATAGTGGATGGACACCACAGTGAGGTGGGAGGAGCAAGTTGAGAAGGTCTTATATCTCCCCTTTGCAGAGGGCATCTTTACAACTACGGACACAATGAAGACATAGGAAATCACAATCAAAATAAAACTGCCCACAAGCACAAAGGCAGAGAGCAAAAAGATAACTATTTCATGAACAAAAGTATAATCACAAGCAAGGGAAACCACAGGTGTGATATCACAAAAAAAGTGTTGGATGGTTTTAGAGTCACAAAAAGACAAGTTAAATACTATGCTGACGATGCAAAGAGAAACCAGAATCCCAACCAGAAAAGAGGCCATCATCTGCTGAAAGCAAATCTTTTGGGTCATCAAAATGGGGTAGTGCAGTGGGTTGTGGATGGCGGTGTAGCGGTCATAGGACATGGCGGCTAAGATAAAACAATTATTGCCTGCTAACCCAAAAAAGAAAAACATCTGTGTGGCACACTCAGGGAGAGAAATCAGCTTGGTCACTGATAACAAGTCTACCAACATGCGGGGGATGATTACCATAGTGGTACAGGTTTCTGAGAAGGACAGGCCACAGAGGAAAAAGTACATGGGGGTATGAAGGTTGTGGCTGAGCTTAATGGCCACCATTATGGACACATTCGCAGCTGTGATGGTCAAATGAGAGAAGAAAATCAATACAAAGAGGAGATGCTGTAGGTCTGGGAAACTGGAAAATCCCCATAGAAGGAATATGTTGACTATTGTGTGATTGTCCATCCTCATGGTGGGCTCATAAATTTATTTCACAATTTCAAAGATACATGAGGTCAAGTTCCTGAAATGATGGTAAAAAATTCCTTTTGTTTTTGGCCTAAAATTAAGGGATCCCACATAAGAAATAGGCAACTCTTAATAACAGAGCTTGAGATAAGACAGCTAAATGCACTAAGCTGTCATCAAAGTCATGCATCTGAGTGATGAGGAGAATCTATAAGCATGTCATAGAGTGGGCACAAGTATGTTCTTGAAGCCCACTCACCTCAGCCTCCCTTTCTTTCCTCTACAGTCAGAATCTGCATGAAAGAGGAAAAGTATATATAAAAAAAAGTGCTGATGTTTTCAACTACAGACCTATGCCACTAATGTTTACCTGTCATCTTAAAGGTTGCCCGGAATGCAGAAGGCCTAAACAAAGTTGGTTAAATCCATTAAAACAATTCCCCTTTTCCTCTAAATTCTGGAGAAATAAGGGGAATTTTGAGTGATTACTTTCTTTGAAAGTCACTTTGTCTTCAGAGATGTTCCTCAGTCTACAGAGGGAGTTGACTGGCAGTTCTGTCCATGAGTAGACCTGGTCATTGAATTTGCCATATTAACATTTATAAGCGTTTTCTAGCCATCATACACACAAGGTGTTATGGCTTGAGTTCCCAATGACTATCTCCCAAACAGGTCTATCGTGGGGTCAAAAGGACTATGGCAAGGCTATTTCAGTCCAGGGTGGCATATTCTTGCTCTAATATCCTGATGAATTCATGTGTTTTCAGTCAAACTTTCAAGATATTTTCTCACTGATACACTAGTAAAGAGGGGTTGCTTTGTAGTAAAGCCCTGGTTAAAACTGACTCAACTGCCAAAGGTTATTGTTCCAAATCTTATTTCTCTTTTCTCCTCCCTTTCTTAAATATACACTCTGTGTGTTAGAGGACAGCTGGAAAGGGACTTATGGGTTTTTCATACAATTTGGGTCAGCTCAGGCACTCTTATAAGGCAAAGGAAATGAAGACAGTGAGGAACCAGGAGTGTGGAATCAGTGGTGAGCGAAAAGCCAAGGAGATCAACACAAGTCAGTGTTCTGTTGGATCCACAGAGCTAGCAGAACAGAAATATACCTTTAGTTGATGAGTTTCTGTGTTCTTTACATACTGAATTTCTGAACCCAGATGTTGCTGTTGTTAAGAGCCATCGAGTAGGCTTTGACTCATAGTGACCCTGTATAGGAGAATTCCAAGGAGGGGTTAGTGAGTTTAAACCAATGACCTTGTGGTTAGCAATCCAATGCTTATCCAACAGCACCACACCAGGATTCCAAAAGATAGGAAGGAGGTGAAAATTGAGGTCAGCAACATTTTCTCAACACTTGAAATGTGCCAGACAATATGCTGGATGTTTGGTAGAATGACCTCATTTATTTTCCCAACAATTCTATGTGGTAGGTATATTAAGCCTTAAATTAGAAAAGATTAAATAAAGTTATAGAATGGGTTAATAGCTATCCACAAAGTATTACTAAATGAATATTGACTTAATGCCAGTTGTAAGTCTGGAAATTTTATGCTTGAGAAATATTAGGTGATATATGATGCTGTGAGTTAATGCGCTGGACTGCAAGGTCGGTTTGAACCACAAGGTTGGCAGTTCAAGCTTACCAGCTGCTCCCTGGAAACTCTATATAGGGTTGCTATGGGTCAGAATCTACTCAATGGCAGTTGGCAACAGTATAACACACACAGGATCTCTCCTGTCTCAAGTAGAGAAAAATGTGATATTGATTTTTTTTTTTAAAGGAGTTAGTACCTGACTAGCTACTCTGGATTGGATGGTCAAGGAAGTCCTTTCTGTGGAAGTGACATTCATCTGCAGTTAAAATTCCAGTAAACACACAACCGTTTATAGACCAAGGGGAAAAGCATTCCACACACAGGTAACACCTAGTGTAAAACCCTTAGTGTGAATGAGCATGACTTTTTCAAGCAATAAAATATAAGCCAGTGTATCCAGAATACCTCTCACGTGTCCTCTTTGGTACCTTTTCAGACAAATACTAAGATTTTACCCATGTTTGAGATAAGAAAATTATGGCTTAGAGAGTTACTTCATTTGCCAAGGTGATAGTGTTGGTAAGAAAAGGAGCTGTTATTCACACCCAGGCAGAGTGAGTTTGGAGATGCCCTTCTTGACTACTAGATAAATCTGTCTCTCCACCTTTAAGTGCACTAGCATGGCAATAAGGTTTTATTGTCCAGACATACCTCCTGCCACCAACCTTCCCTATGTGTAAACCAACCCAAATCTGTCCTCATGGCACGATTCTTGAGGCTCTTCTTTGAACACATTGTTTGTCTGACTTGCAATGTTCTTCCTGCCCTTCTCTGCTTTGTAAACTGCAGCTTGTTTCAAACACAATTCAGATATTACTTCCTGAGGAAGCTGTCCCTAACCATTCTGATTGATTTAGTAACTTTTTCTTCTGTGTTCACATGTGCTTGTGATATGGTGACAGTATTACATGTCTGACTCCTATATAATAAGAGCAGAGACCTATTGTACAACTTGGTGCCCCAAACTTGCAGCTGAACACTTGTCCACAGAAGTATTTGCTGCATGAGAGTTCAATGAATGAACGGGGTGCTGTTGCCTAAGAAAGTCTCATACTGTTGTTTTTTTTAAGGTTCACTGACTGATTCTTCCCAACTCTATTGTTTGCTCTATTTAGCATTTCTTTAAGACCCATGAAGGCATAGTGAAGTCATCTGTCAATGTGATATTTACAAATCAGTGCCTAATACATGCTGACCTAATTCAATTCACTGTGGTGTCTCCCTCCAAAAGAGAAAACCATTCAAAATTCTAGAAATGGTTGTCTTGAAGCATTGCAGAAAAGAATTATTTTCTTACATCTAGACATTGTACCTTGATTTCCACTAGTCTTTCAGTTTGTTTTGCTTTGGTGACTTGTATGTTACTATTATGATGGAAACTATGCCACTGGTATCTCAAATGCCAATAGGGTTTAATGGATCTTCCAAAGAGACTAGGAAGAAGGATCTGTGAAAATCAGGTAGGTGAAACCCTTATGAATAGAAGCAGAACATTGTAAGGTCAGCAAAAAAGAGAAAGGCCTTCAACAACAAGAATTGGCACAGTGGCTGTGACAACTGAAGAATGGTGTGGGCAGGAGGTGGCAGTGTTTTGTTCTGTTGAACACAGAAACACCATGCATCTATGGCACCAAACACCAACAGCATACCTTGATTTACTGAGGCATCAAATCATACTTGACTGGCATACTGATCCTCTACCAAGGGGCATATTGGAATTGTTGGGGAGCTTTCGCAAGAGTTATCCAAGTCTTTTCCAAAAGTAGAAAACTAAAAAAAAATCAGATAAATGTGGCATTGGTAGGTTTAAAAACTCCTAATGTGATTCTGTTACTTCCTGTTTTATTTGTATTCATGATAAATCCCACATTTGTCATAATAAAGGAATATGACTGAGAATGTCAATATGACATTATTTGGAGTACCACAGTGACCCTTGCAGATACTGAGAAGCAGAAATTGAGGAAGTTTGCTGGCCCAGCAGTGTGTAATACACTCACTGCCCCGTCCACTTCCTTCAACTTGCTATAGTCTATTGATATGGACTGAAAGGGACATAACTGAGTTTTATCCCTTAAATCTGCTCGATGTCTGTCAAGTCCCTGCCCTAGCAGAGAGCTATTGTATTAAGAATGCCTATATTCTTTGAGATAGCAAGGCTTGGGGATTTTAGGTTGCTTCTGCATTTTAGGCTATACTGTAGACTCTCTGTCAGGCTGCTAATCTCAGGGTAAGCAGCTCGAAACTTCCAGTGGTTCCGTGGGAGAAAGATGAAGCCTTCTGCTCCCTATAGACTTACAGCCTTGGAAACCCTACACAGGGTTGAAACTGATTAAGTAGCACATAACCATCACCCCCATAGACAGACTCTCTGGGGTCCTGGTGTTGCACTTGGATTAATGCGCTGAACTGCAGAGTCGATTTGATCCGCAAGGTCAATGGTTCAAACTTACCAGCCACTCCTCAGAAACCCTATACAGTGTCGCTATGGGTCAGAACTGACTTGATGGCACTTAACAACTAGCAAAATAGACTTTGTTGTCCCGTCTCCATTTTAGAACTCTTCTGTTTTCAAAGATGCACATGAAAATTATGGCCAGAGTGGGAGGGATGGACACACTGTGTCATTCATTTGCTCTCCAGATTGAATGGAAGTTTTGCATTTTTTCTGGCAACTAACCTTAACTCCTGCTTAAGGGATACTTTTCAAAGATAGAGGAAAGATGAATATTTATCACCAAGCCTTTGGAAAAGCACACTTGATTTTCTTTCAGCTCAGAGAGTAGAAAAGTCAGAGTTGATTCAGCTTTTCTGTGTTATTTTCTACACTGGGAAAATATGGAAATTTAAAATTATCTGGAAAATAAAGAAGCATGCTTTACAGAGTTGCAGGTATGAAATTAGGATAGATCAAATTTTCATATTTAGATGTTCATGATATCCAAAATTTTACTGGTTATAAATGATTGTCTAAGGATTCTAGTGGCGCTGTAGGATAAGTACTGGTCTACTAACAACAAAGTCAGCAGTTCAAACCCACCAGCCACTCTATGGGAGAAAAATGAGTCTGCTCCTGTAAAAAATTACAGTATCAGAAACCCTGTGTATGGTCACTGTGAGTCAGAATTGACCCAATTTCAATGAGTTTTTAAATAGCTATCTGGTATCCTTTCATATATGCAAAAAACATTTCTCTAGTTATTTCCTTGAAGTTATTTCAAACCCATAAAAGGAATAAATGATTTTCTTATAAATCACAACTACATAATTATGAAATCAAGCAGTCAAACTGCCCAAAGGCAAAATAAGAGAAGGAGGAGCTGCACAAATATCCAAATTGTTTATGATTTAGTGTGAAAGTTCTACAGTGACAGTGAAATTTGATGCATATGTATT